ACAGCGGCTTCAGCTTTTCATCAAGCCACTTGGTTTACGGAATGCTGTTTATTAGAAAGAAGAAACGTAGCCTGAACACGCAATCGGATTCCATCCGCGCGAAACTATTTGTTTAAACAAATATGTTAATGAACAATCACACCTCTCACCGCATATATAACACTGTTGAACCGTTATTTTCTTGTCTCTCGATAATGATGTCATGACGACATCGAAACGTTGTGTAAAATTTCTATCGCTCATTTTTATTTTGAAATGACTCAGAAAAAATTACCAAAATTGGTCTTGAAATTACCTTAGGGTAAGAAACCATTGCTTTGTCTCGAATTTAACAAATCCAACAAACAAAAGGTTTACGACATTAATTTACTTAAAAAATTCCCAGTCACAAAATAATTAATGACACAGATTGGTGTCACGAATGAAACATTTAGACATCATTTCTTAAAATCAGTTAACACAAACACGTAACCTTGCTTTCCGACGCGAATGCTCCAGTCCTTTTCAGGGCACAACAGCAACGTCCAAGGTAACGTCCAAGGTTTTCGGCTCAGAGGGCTTCTCTGATGACAAAAACTGACTTGACTTTTCCAGCATTTTTTAAGATTTGTAGATTTCGCAGTTCAATTCTGCTTTCGCTGTGAGTTTTCATTCCACGAGAAGCGACTTTCGAGTCAAGTTTTACAGTGGCGTGATTTTATTGGACCAATCACGGTTCTTTGCTCACCATGCATAGCAACCAATGAGATTGCTTCATTTTGTATAGACAATAAATTACGTCAAATTTTTTTGACGTGTTTTCCAAAGTGGGCAAAGGCCGGCTTTCGAGTCATGGTGAAAGATTTTGAAATAAAAAAAGGCCTTTTTTGGAAAAGTTTGTTTCTTTATTACATGAAACAAATGGATTCCATGTTGCCGTGCGTCTGTTTAGTAATATATCACAGAAGACGTCAAAACGTGGTGAGAACATCAGGGACACACTCGGCTATCGCCTCGTGAGCCACTCTTTTGTTCTTACCAAATTTTGACGTCATCTGTGATTATTACTGAACAGACGCACGGCAACGTGGAATCTATGGCGGCTGTAAAGTCTACAGATATAGAAGTCAACAATTTGTCAAAGTTCAATGGGCGAGAGTTCAAGTTGTTGTTTCCCTAGGGAGTTAGTTAGTTTTGTTTGGCCTGGGGAGTTAGTGAGTTTTAACCCAGGACACTGGACACGTGCTCCTCCAATCGGAAAACTTATTTGAGTTGGGAGGTATAACAATACATGTTGTGGCCCAGAAGCTGTGTGAGATGTAAGTGTTAGATCATTTGCATATAATAAACAATTTAACGAATTTAGAATCTGTGTCTTGTTTATCAAGAAGAAAAGGGATTTCATTTACTGAAATGAAGATTGAAAAGCATAGGAGACAGGATGCAGCTTTTTTTTTTTGACACCATTTCCGATAATAGCCTTTTTCCTCGAAGCTAACAAAAATAAAGACCATGGTAAAGTTGCTTTGACCTCTCCTGATACTTAACCTCAGAATTGCGGGTTTAATTTGACGAGGAACAGCATATTTTGTTCAAAATAACACCACTATTATCCTACCTGGCGACACTCGACGAACTACGAGCGAGTTGCCATGCCGGACGCCGGTGACCTGTTTTTGGCGCCAAATTGGAAGCTTGGAGACACAAAATGTTTCGTATTTTTCACTTTTTACAATCTGATATGATTTTGGAAATTGTAAATCCCTTTTCGTGAATATTTAATGCCATCTCCAGTGAGAAAAGGTGCCTGATTTCAATGCTATTCCTGTTAACTTACATTGACGTGAAGACTTATTGGTCAATTCAAATTTCAGGCGCGCCAGCCGTATATTTGCAAGGATAGTCAAAAAATTCGCTCTTTAAATCACCGTGTTTGATTAAAGAGTTTTAATCAGGTCATAAAATCTTCCTTCAATTTTGTATGTGAGCACTTTGTAGAGTAGACCGTCTTGTCATATTGAATGAAAAGCCTTTTTTAAAGTGAGGGTCTCCCAGGGGTCTTGGGGAACAAGGGAACATTAGCCATTTTTTGGGAACAGGGGAACAAAATTCGAAAAATTACAAATGGGAACATGAGAACATAGGGCAATTTTGGAAGGGAACAAAGGAACAAAGACCCCCCCCCCCTTGGGAGACCCTCTAAAGTCAACGAAACATGTATGAAGCTTACCTGACTGGTTATATTAGTGACGTATTTCGTGACAATCAAAGTTCGGAGGGTGAAGATAGGATCAGTTGGGCGATGATTAGGAACGAGGTCAGTTTGCGCATGGTGTAAAATATGTTGATCGTGTACATAATTTTTCAGTCTGCTACTGAGTACAGCGGAGAAGAGATTCCCGAGGCAACTATTTATTAGCGGATTCCCCTATAATTTAAGGGATCTTGTTTGTCTCCTAATTTAAATATGGAAGTTATAATACCCTTGGACCAGCTACTGGGGAAAAAACCGCCAGTGAGAACATAGTTTGTAGAGGGGACCCCCTACTAACTATGGTGAGAATTAGCTTAAAGAGTTTACAAATTACAGTTGTTAAGTAAAGCGAACCAGTTTTAAGCATTTCGTTTCTTATGCTGTCGGGACCATGAGCTAAGATACTGACAGACCAACTGTTAGAAGCTTCAAGCAAGTACGTTGAATTAATGTGCTGTTAAAGGGATCTAAAGCGGGACCGACAGTTGGCTAAAAGATCGTTATCATTAAGATACTTGCAAAATTGATGGTAAATTATTCTTTCAAACAACTTAGCGACAGCAAGGATAATCGAGATGGCTATCTTTAAAACG